GAATCTTAATAAGATGTAGTAAAAAATCTATAATTTAAAGTTGTGATATGTTAATGATTTGTCAATCTAAGAGATGTGGATCGGTTAATCCTTGCCATGGATCAGAAATTTTTCATTTTCTACATGAGATCAATCGATATGAGTGATGTGACTATTGATATAATTGTACCAATAAAGCTGATTAGTTTGTACATAAAATGGTTATGATGAGTAGATAGATATATTATTAAAACTAAATTGTATACAAAATTTCATAGTTGTTATGGAGATGAAGATGAAAGTGATTGTAGAAAGAAATTACTTTCCTCCACATGTGAAAAAAATTCATTAAAGTTTTAACATTTCTATATATGACGACAAAAATTATAAATATCTGTTTTTTTATTCATAAACATGAGAAACTTATTTTTTACCCTGGAAAAAAATGTTTGGAGATTCTAAATTGATAAAAAACAAATTGTTTCCATCATCCTTGTTATGAAGTTCAATCCTTTATAACTCATTAAACAAAATAGTGGATAAAGAAATCATAGATGAGATAAATAGAAGTGACCCAAATTATAGGTTATTATAATCTGTGTAAGATTTTGGGAAGATTTAAGGAAAAGTTGTAAAATTTATAAATGAATCTTTTATAAGTGAGATAATATATATCTATACCATATAATCTAGGGAAGTTTATTCAAATAGTACATATTTTAGGACAAATAAGTAGAATTATACAAATCTTTTTTTTATTACTGTCATTTTTTAAATACCAAGCGTGCCCTTTTATTATGTTATGAGAAAAACTGTATTTACAAAAATGTCATTACTTTTTAATGCCATGTAAGCAAAAATCCGGTGCCACGTAGTATATCGCTGCCGTGTTTTCATTAAGTCAGCCGTAAAGCGCTATAGATGTCGTTACGGCTGGGTTATTATTACGTTGTGGCTGAGTTAAACAACGCGGCTGACTTAAGAGAAATTGGCTGACTTAAGAATATAAGCCAGCCGTTAGTGATGGATGGCTTACATAAATATGGCTGATTTATGGGATAACGGCTGACTTACGTACATAAGTTACGGCTGACTTACGTACATAAGTTACGGATGACTTATACATCAGCGATGCGATTTCTGGAAAATTTGGCTGGGTTGTAATTAAGACATGGCTGAGTTATGTTTCGCCGGCTGAGTTAATGAACATCGCCAGGCTGAGTTATTATTACGGCTGACTTACGAGAGGTTGTTACGGCTGAGTTATATTTAATCAGCTGTAACTGGCAGGATTAACAATAAACTCAACATAATTACGGCTGACTTATTAGCGAAAGATTAATTACTAGAATATCATTTGTTTGACGGCTGATTTATTTGATGATACGACTGACTTATAATTTTCCACCCTAATTATGGCTGATTTATTAGTAAAAGATTAATTACTGAAATAATATTCATGTTTCAGCTGTTTACGTTGTACTTGATGGCTGGTTTATTTAGGTTGAGTTATGTGTTCGTTTGGTGGCTAACTTACCGATTTTCCATGTCATCAACTTTTACTAACCATGTCACTGCAAACATTGAAAAGATAAAATAAGGATTTATGTTAGAGACGCAGAGTCTTATTCATCATTCTACATCTTCTTTATCTATCTTCTTCATCTTATTCTTCATCTTTCTCTTAGATCATATGGATCTGGTAATTATTTTTTCGGCAAATGAGTCTAAAAACATATATTTAAAAAAATTAAAAATCTGAGACTGATTTACTGCAATCATCGTCTTCGATGATGGTCGGTTGAGAAGAAGCTTCCTCTCCTCCAGTGTCATGTATGGTGGTGTGACATCTTGTTGCTCCCGCTCCCATCGAATTCGCCATCTTGCAGAAGAATAAATAGTCAAAGAGAGAAATGAAAAAACTAAGTTCCATAAATTGTAAGAAAAAAATACGAAGAAGATGATGAATTTGAAAGCTAATTTTATATGTTTAATGACTCAGATTTTGCATCATGTAAATATGAGGTTCAAACTTAAGAAGAGATTAAAGTTTGAATATTGTGATTAGGGTTGACCTAATGATTTATTCTCGCCCAAAATACAAAACGTCGTGAAACAAATTACACTTGAAGGCTGACTTATAAGAACGTTACGGCTGACTTATACCATTCATATACATTACGACTGAGTTATGCATACGTTAGGTCTGAGTTATGCATACTTTACATCTGAGTTATGCTTACTTTACGGCTGAGTTATGCATATGTTACGGCTGAGTTATAACTCATCAAATTGCAGCTGAGTTATGCATACGTTATGGCTGAGTTATGCATACTTTACGGTTGAGTTATGCATATCTTATGGCTGAGTTATGCATACTTTACGGCTGAGTTATGCATACGTTACGGCTGAGTTATAACTCATCAAATTGCAGTTGAGTTATGCATACGTTATGGCTGAGTTATGCATACTTTACGGCTGAGTTATGCATATCTTATGGCTTAGTTATGCATACTTTACGGCTGAGTTATGCATACGTTACGGCTGAGTTATAACTCATCAAATTGCAGCTGAGTTAAGCATACATTAGAGCTGAGTTATGCCTACGTTACAGCTAAGTTATAATCAAATTATGGCTGAGTTTTGTTATAATCAAAGGTGAGTTATGGTTACAATACGACTTTTTTATAACTCGACCAAAAAAGCTTCTGACAAGTTCAAGATTCATCATCCAAACTTAAATTGAAGTTAGAAACCAAAAAAAAAAACTAAAATACGAGTGTATAGAATATGAATCAAGAGACATATGCATAAACAACATAGATCTAGAAACAAAAAAACAAAAATTCAAGACAGATCTATTGTAATCGTCGCCATCTTCGATGGTGGTTGGTTAGAGAAGAAGCTTTCTTTCCTCCAATATATGTATGGTGATCTGACATCCTGATGTTCCTTCTTGTATGGTGATTCGACATCCTGATGCTCCCTCTCTCATCGAATTCGTCGTCTTTCAAAAGAAAAAAAATAGTCAAATAGAGTGATGAAACGGTTAAGTCCGTCAATTATAAGAAAATGAGAAAATGATTTTTGACCTTTAGATTTCATTTAATCAATGGCCATAAATTGTGATCCTTGAAAAAAAAAGATTAACCAATGATAAAGAAGGGTGAGGATAGAGAAAATGATAATTTTGTACCCTTAGATTAAAATCAATCAAGGGTCATGGTTGCGTAATGTTCCCGCCCACCCCAGTGTTTCGCAAGTATTAAGTTCCCGCCCAAAAATACCAAACATCGCGATTAAGTTACACTTTTCGGCTAAGTTATTGACATTTTACGGCTGAGTTATGTTTAGGATAAATTTATGTTTTAGGGTTTATGGTAAATTATTTGGGGTTTAGTGTTTAGGATTTAGGTTTTATGGTTTAGTTACCATTATAAAATATAAGAAATTACACAAATTATATGGTATACTTTGTATTTGGTGCGTTCAACACCTATATAGACACATAAGGTTTTAAGTATTTGTAAGACAACATATACCTCAAGATCATGATCAATTCGAAATTTGTAAATTCAATGAAATATACACACTCTGTTGATTATATATTTATCTAAAATTGATAATATTAATTTCTAGTAACATATTAAAGCACATTTTTCAATATTAGGGTATGTTTGTGGTTTGACTGAGTTATATGAAGCGTTAGGGCTGGGTTATATTAATTTTTTTTTGATTTTAGGGTCTGTTTGTGGTATGACTGAGTTATATGAAGCATTATGGCTGTCTTATATAAACGATACGGCTGGGTTTTATTAAACTTTTTTGATATTAGGATATATTTGTGGTATGGCTGAGTTATATAAAGAGATACGAATGGCTTATAGAAACGATACGGCTGATACATCCCATTTCTTCCTTCATCAAGGATATTTGCTGCCATCTTCACTCGTATACCTTGAATATTCTTATCATTTATCCCATCAAAAGTCACGCCAAGCGTCAAATATTCCACAAATTTCAGTGAATACATTCCACAATCGCCAACTTGGTCGTTTTGTGGAATGTATTTGTCTTTCCTCCTTCGGAACACAAACTGCTTCTGATTAGGTTTTTAAAGATTGGCAGGAATATTAGGTTTTAAAAGTCCATTCAGCATATAATCTTTCAGCATAAAATCTTAGAGAATAATCATGTGTTTGATCTTTAGAAACATCCATCTGATCCTAGAACACATATATATAAATCAACCGCGATAGAAAAATTAACTTAATCACAACATAATACATAACTCACTCGTAATAAAAAAAAAACTCAGCCACAACATAATATAACTCAGCTATAATACAACAAACTCAACCTTCAACATAATACATAACTCAGCCGTGATATAAACAAAACTCAGCCACGACATTGTATAACTCAACCATAATGCAACAAACTCAGCCACAACATAATACATAACTCAGCCGTAATAGAATTAAAACTCAGACACAATATAGTAAGTCAGCCATAATACAACAAACTCAGCCACAACATAATCAATAACTCAGCCACACTATGATCTATAACTCAGCCGCAATAGATCACAACATACATCAAACTCAGCCACAATATAAAATAACTCAGTTACAAGATAATCTATAACTCATCCACATCGTAAATCAAACTAAGTCTCAATATAAATTTGACTAAGCCACAACATACCAGAGAAGATGATACGATTGCGACGAAGACGATTGCATAGAAACTTTTGTGGAGAATACGATTTCGATGAAGAAGATATCATAGACAGTTCGAGATGAGACGATTTGGGTAACAGTTAGGGTTTAACGACGAAGAAAGAAAGTTGTGACATTATGATTTTTTTTCTACTCACCGGAAATATGGAGACGTTGATTTTCCCATGTCACAAAAGTTAGTGACGTAGATTTCCTAATTAGTGATGTGGATTTGATAATTAAAATTAGTTTCATAAAAAAAAAAAATAAGAGTCTTTATTGTAATTTTTTAGGGATCTGAAAACATTATAGTAATTTTTAGAAAATGTAAATCATTATAGTTATATACCAAATTTTCTACACTATTCTAGTAATTTTCTCTATAATCTATGGTATTGAAATGTTGTTTTTGAGGAAAGATACGATCTCTTCCCTAAGATTTCAAGTTCATCGACATGATGTTCTTTAATGTATGTTCTTGGCTCAATCACAAAGTTATAATTTGGTCAAAAGATCGGAGTTGCTCGCCGGTTTCTTGAAATGCTTCTTCGCTGACATCGACTGTTCGGACATAAGCAGGGAAAATCCTGTTTTGTTCAGACGCTGAGCTGCAAGAAGCTTGACCATAGAGCTTGGTTTTCATCTCTATGCAAGATTTGAGATCCTCTTCGGTTCTTGCTTTGTTCAGTTTGTCGATTAATTCATTCAAAGCTGAAGTCTTCTCTTCCCATTTACGTCTTTTGATCAGTCTTTTTATTTCATCTTGACAATCTGATTTACCACCCCGTTTGTGGAGCTTGACAAAACCAGCTTTGACAGTCTCTGTGATCCGCTTCTTGAAACTCTCTGTTCTAGCGGAGTTTGATCTCAGCCTAAGTTTAAGCTCTGAAACAGTTCTTTCCCAACTGTTTTGCTCAGACGCTGCTGCTCCGGGATGCTCTTCGGGAACAGATGCCAATGAAAATACTTCTTCGAGTAAATTCACATTACTCATGTATCGATCAAAAGCTTCATTCTCCACTTCGATGTTTCTGTCTCTGTACTCTTTCAGTTTTGTAAACCGCCATTCATTTAAAGCTTGAGCATCCTAGAGAATGTAGTCAGAAGGAATAGATGATAAGAGGAAAAACAACAAGTAGAAGACATTTTGAAGAGTACACTCAACAAAGCACTTCCTCATTAATAGTACCTTTATCGTCAAAGGCTTTCTCTTGCGAGCAGCAGCATTTAGGTTATTAAACTGAGCAAAGTTGTGGCGGATTGATGATGAAACTCTAGTTGTACTCCTAATGCAGTTTCAGATAAAAGGAAAATATCAAAACAAAGAGAGGAGCCAAATCCATAGTACTAATATAAGAAAAAAGGATTGTACCCGGGAGTGCCCTCGGAAGCTTTGTGCTCTGATGATGGAGTACTTGGCGCTGTTTTCTCAGCAGAAGTTGCAACTCCCTTAAGAACTGCATCGACAAGAAAACATAAACCGGATTAAGCAACAGTCAATGATAAAATGTCTATTTCAATCGACTAATATGATACTCTTTCTTTGTTGCAGGTTTCCTATTGGTTTATCTCAATATTGAGATATTGGCGGGGGAGAGAAGCATACCGTGAATTGGGCAGGGGTTCTCTGCTCTTGAGCAGCAACCCTTACAAGATTCAAAGGGGCATCTGTAATAATCACATTCATGCAATCAAACCAATAAGCCAATACCTTTAACAACAAGTAAAAGTGCTAGCTAAGTGTAAAGAAAATCAAAAGACAAGAGATTCATAACAAAGCGCAAAACAATGAATCAGCCTCAAAGTTTCAAAATTTCACAGAATTGAAAGAAAAAGAGTTAACCTGGAGCGAGCCGTGTTGCCGCATTGGATACACTTGGGTTTGTTACGACCACGGAGATTCGCGGGAGGCGTGACGGCAGCGGAGAGACCATTGTTAGTCAGAGACGGTGACGAAGCAGCCATCTTTCTTAACGGTCAAAATTTAATCACACGAGATAGAAATAGAATGAAGAATAGCCAACGACTAAAATCGTAAAGTAACAAATTTTGGAATCGCTGTGACTTGGAGAATTTCTCTTTCTCTCTTTTCTTCTACGATTTTGATTTTAGCTGCGGGTCTAGGGCTTCGGTTTTAGTAAATTGCCACGTGATTCGCTTTTATAGGCCCAATATGTTTTTTTCTCTTTAAATTTAACCTAATTACTGTTATAAAAAAAATTATAATATCAAGAAATCTAAATAAGGATGAAATTTTATACTTGAAACCTCTATAAATTAATAATGTTGGGATTACACCAATTTTTTATTTTTTTTTATTAATTTATAGAGATATTAATTTATCGATATATTAATTGAACCAAAAATTCAATTTGGGACTATAAAATTATATTATTTTATAGAGATATTTAGTTTATATTAATTTATCGAGTATTAAATTTATAGAGGTTCTACTGTACCTATAAAAAGAAGATAATACTGATATGAGGTAAATTATTAGAGAGAGATTTTGTAATCGAGGGAGAAGAGAGAATGAGGTGTGTTTTCAATCAAACGAATTCGTTCGTTGATATAGAGAATAATAAGATAAAGTTATTGTGTGTGCATAGTGATAGTGGATTCCACACAATAAATATTTATAAGTTAATGTCAAGTTTTACGTTGATTCTTTCTTTGATATTTGTTTCTCCATGTTTTACAACACTTCCTCTTGCAGACCAATGTCACTATCCTTCTTTGCTTGATGTCTTTGTTGCTTCGTTAAAAACCTTTCTAAGAAAACCATGTAGAAAAAACCATAATTAAGTTCATGTAAAACAAAAAAAAAAGTGTTACAAAACAAGAATAGGCTAAATGCATAAATAGAACACTTAATAAAATTTACATACCTACATAAATGCACCCATGACTTGTCCAACATTGTTAAGACCCTTGCCACAGTTCAAACAGGCATACATGGTTCAAGAAGCAATGACAATATAAATTACAGTTCAAAGTGTTAACCTCAAACAACAAACTCAATGTCTACAAAGTCTACACATGATTAAAAATGAGAATAAGTAAATAGAAGGGTCTAACCTCCTCAGAATATAGCAGACGGAAGACACGAACCAACACCTGAGGAAAAAAAAATGAGATTAATGGAAACATATATGAACCAAAACGATGGAAAAATCATTCTACAAATATGTAGCAGCCAAAAAAAAAACTTTCATATCATGAATCAATCGACAGAATCAAACCTAACTAATCGACATGCATCAATCGACATTATAACCTAACTAATCTTATCAAGTCTATGTAAGGATTCAATTTCAGTTTATAAGCTCGATTTGATAGTAGAGATGATGATCGCGAAATCTAATTGGAGAATCGAATACGATTAATGGAAACAAATTTGAACACAAAACCTAACCTCGATGTGAAATCGGAGATGATGATGGGTTGGATTGGAGATTTGGGTAGGATGATGGAGGAGGTTAATCTTGGTGAGCGACGAGGAATCCGACGGAGAAGAAGAGAAGCCGACGGACGGAGATATAGTGGAGCTCTATCGACGGAGAAGAAGAGAAGCCGACAGACAAAACAGAAGAGATCCCCTTTTCCTTTTTTTTTAATGCTATTAAAACTATATTGACCAATATTGACCGCGAAAACCCTCCTTTTTTTTCTAAGTGTTGGCGGTAAGTGTATATACTCGGGTGATTAGTGTATTATTAATCCCGTTTAACTAATTTTTGGGCATAGCATAAGTAAAATGCTATATATTTGTTATCTAGGCTTGTAATTACCTTACCATAGCAGTTACGGAAATTGTGCTATTATAATATGCTATCAATACCTATATTTGTTGTAGTGATAGCTAGGTAAAAAGAGTACAACCATGAGCTTCCCCTTGAATGATCAGTCATTGATCCTTTCTGATGACGCATTCGGATGTTATGGACACATTTTTTGAATACTGAGGTAGGAAGTGATTTTGTGAAGAGATCTGCAGCGTTGTCACATGATCGAACATATTTTACTTTAATTTCTTTATTCTTCTCTATTTCTTGAGTGTATGAGAATTACTTCAGATTTATGTATTTGATTATATCGATTTTGATATATCATAATTTGTAAGAGACTCGAGAATAGGGGAGAGAGTACAGTTACCACTTGATCCTCTATTTGTTTTTACCACTAAATCGTGTTTTCAGATTTAAAAATTACCATTATGTGAAGTTTGGGTTTAGCTAAGAGTCGATGGGCCAGCAGCAGCATCAAGAAGATAATCTTCAGACTCGGCCCAAGAAGACTTGCTGCTACTGCTGGCCCATCGACTCTCGGCTAAACCCAAACTTCACATTCAATAATGACAATTTTAAAATCTAAGAACACAATTTAGTGGTAAAAACAAATAGAGGATCAAGTGGTAACTGTCTTCTCTCCCCTATCCCAAGTCTCTTACAATTAGGGCTGGGCACAAATGCTTGATATCCGGTTTATACTCGCTACTTGACTCGGTTCGGTTTAAAAAAACAAGTACTTGCTACAATCAAGTCAAATAACAAATAAACGGATTTTATTACGTGGAAGTACACGTCAAATATCAAGTTCATTTTTATTTTTTAACTACTTGGCTTGTTACTTCGTTTGTTACTTGTTATCATTACTTGTCCTATTATTTGTTATATATTATTTGGTTTATTAAATACTTGATATCCATTTTTTTAATTAATTAAAATTTATGTATTACATTTTATTAGTGACCACAATTACTCGTTGTTTATCTCTTATTCACTACTTGATGAGTACATAATCTTTAAATATTAGTATTTGTTTTGATCAAATTAAGTATTAAGTAATCTATTTAAACTATTTGACAAAATAAATATTAAATATTAAATAAAATTAACTACTTGATGTTGTTTTGTTTGTTAGTTGTGTTTATTAATGAACTAAGATACATTTTCTTAAATCATAGTAAAATAACTTATTTCTATTTCCATTTTCATAAGTACATAAAACATAAGTGTTATATTTATATATAAGCATCTTGAATTTTTTTCTTTCGTATATAGTCTATTTCCCGAATGACTTAAATACAAGTAAACAATGACATATTAGTTATGTAATAAATTTATGTAACTTCAAAATTTAGTTAATTATTAAATAATTTACTAATAGTTATGAATAAATTTGTAAGTAATTTACAAGTAACAAATAATAAAACAAGACAAGTAACTTACAAATCCGTCAATTTTTTGTTAGTACTTGAAACTGTAAGTACTCGTTTTTAACAAACCAAGTACAAGTCAAAACATTTACTACTCGTACAAGCCAAGCCGAGTACTAAGTATATTAAAAATACCGAGTACTCGGCTTGTGTCCACCTGGTGTCCTGAGATTTTACATGATTTACTCATCAAGTCAGTCCAAATTTCAATAATTCAAGCTACATTTAGAGTCCATTTAGGTGCATAGCATGTGCATGTGTGGTATTTCAGATTTGGAAAAGCTTAGGTTGAAGTTTGGAAACTTGAGGAGCAAACATAGAGACAGATGCAAAAAAGGGGCCTTAACCGCGGGTCACGGGCACAGGCAAGAGCCGTCCGCGGACTCAGGCCAGTGAGCTCGATGGACCATCTCCGCGGACAGCTACCGCGGACCAACGCCAGGCAACAGATTTAGACCCGAGAAGGACCCTAAAGATGGACCAACTCCGCGGACAGGTTATGCGGGCCAATGCCAGGCCGTGGATTCTTGCCCGAGAGGTCGATGTTTCAAGTGAATTCCGCGGACAAATCCTGTGGGCTGGAGCAGTCCGAAGATTCGAGGCCGAGTGGTTCTAACATGAAATTTCCATTATTTTTGATGTCCTTTTGGTCATTTTGTAGAGAAAACCCTTGTGCTTCCAAATGCCATATAAATACTCTTGTAATTCTTTTTGGGAATGATATCTTCTTTTCTCTCAAAAACACATTTTGAAAAGTTGAATCTTTGATTAATATAATCTTTGTTTCTTGAGTAATTTGAGTATATCTTTTCTTCTAATCATGATTAGTCTTCTATCCATCATGGGTTTAAGATCAAACATGAAGATTAGTGAGTATACTCCCTTTGAACTTATGGGTTAGGGTGATTTAGGGTGATTAAGTGATGATCAAGGGTGATTAGTATTAGATCCTTCTTGTCATATGCGTATTACTTATTCCCAATGCTAGATTAGACCTAATCCTTCTAAACTAGATCATTAGGCTTTCTTGCCCACAAGGTGTATGATGAAATGCCTAAACCAAAGTAATAATGCTTTTTGCTTGCTTAACCAAGGACACTTCGTGTTAAAAAAGGCTTAAATGGTTAGTAGACTTGTTCTCAATGATTGCTTGATTGATTTAGACCAATGACCATTTGTGTTTAGAGATTGATAGGAAATGAGTTTTTACCTTGACTAAGGACTAGCTTAGGATTGTGTCTAGACCTATAGGATATGAATCATTGCTTGAAACCTCACCCTAGATAGTAACTTGATCACCCATAAAGTCAATACACTTATCCATATGCTCTTTTATCTCATTGAAGCCAAAGCTTAATTATTCTTGTTTACATATTGCTTGTTACTAGTTACTTATAAAACAAACCCTCATTGATTGCATTTAAATTTAGCAATGTCTTGCATCCTCTTTGTTAAATATCTCTCAGGATTTGATTGACACTCTACTTACCGTACTACATTGATTTGCTCCAAGGCATAAAAACCCTTATCAAATTTGGCGCTGTTGCCATTTCTGAGTTGTTTATTGACATTGGGATTTAGTCATTGCTTGAGACTAAATCTTATTTACTTGCTTTAGTTACTGATTTCTTCTTCTTTGTATCCCTTGGATTGGTTGCATGTGTATAAACCTGAGAAGTAGAGGAGCTGCAAACCTCTTACCTGAAGCTCAAGACATCAAAGCTCTTGAGAGAGAGTTGATAAGAAGAAGAAGAGAAGAAGAGAGACTAGCCCAACTAGAAGATATGGGGCTTGATATGGAGAGAAACAACCACTTACCTCAAGAGGAGGCTGTTCTCCCTCAAGGAGGCATTGGTCAAGGAGCTGACAACCTTAGACCACAACTCAACCCACCCCAAGCTAGAGCCATTGGCGCCTATTATCAACCAAACATTCATGGGCATAGAGCTGGTATCTGAGCTCCAGCTGTTCAGAACACCACCTTTGAGATCAAGTCCAGCCTTATAAACATGATCCAAAGCAACAAGTATCATGGTCTTGCCCTTGAAGATCTTCTAGACCATCTTGATAGCTTTGATAGGCTATGTGGGACAACAAAGATCAATGGTGTTTCTGAAGATGATTTTAAGCTGAGGTTGTTCCCGTTCTCTTTGGGAGACAAAGCCCACACTTGGGAGAAGAGCCTTTCAAAAGACTATATCACCACTTGGGATCAATGTAAGAAAACCTTCCTCACCAAATTCTTCTCTACTTCAAGGACAGCTAAGCTTAGGAATGAGATATATAGTTTCATTCAAAAGAACCTTGAAGGCTTTGGTGAAGCATGGGAGAGGTTTAATGACTTCATCACTCAGTGTCCTCATCATGGTTTCAGTAAGGAGAGCTTGCTTAGTACCTTCTATAGAGGAGTCTTGCTAAAGTATAGGAGCATGCTAGACACTGCTAGCAATGGTTTCTTCTTGGGAAGAACTGAAGCTGAAGCTTTAGAGCTTATGGAGAACATGGCCAAGAGTGACTCAATTTACAATGATGAGTTTGATAGAATCAATATAGATTGAAGACACTAGAAGGGATCTGAAATCTCTTGAAGAAAAGATTGACAAGCTTGAGTTGCTTCTTTCACTCACTACAAGAAATATGGGTTTTGTTAGCGGACGTTAAATGCTATGAGATCACTACCATAGCGCTCCTTAAAACGCTCTGAGATCGCCCGTCATAATAGGTCCGACACTTTCGATAGCGAAACAGTCGTATGCTATATTAAAACAAACAACAATAGCGGTGTTGTCAATGCAATTGTTAATACTTATAATAACGATATACAAATGTTATTAAAACTTATTAATTTGATGTTACCTATACAAAGATAGCAATGATTCATGTTATTAATTTATTTTTAAATTATCAAAAAAATTATTAAAGATATTTACGAATTGATTTTATATTAAAAAAAATATTTATTTATTAAAATCAGTTTTACAAAACTAAACCTGACCAAAACCTAATCCTAATTTTACAAAACTAATTAAGCCAAACCAAAACCAAAACCTAATATTACAAAACTAAAACCAGTCATCTTCTTCTTCTCCAAGCCCAACCTCTACTCCTTCGGCTTCACGGATGTCTCCACTTCAGGCTTCACCATCGACCTGAAAGATATCTTTCGGCTCCACAGCTTCTCCTTCTCAGCGTCCTAATACACACAAGAAGAAAACCAAAGACCAAAATAGCTCCATAAAACCAAAAATATTATAATTAAGCAAACAAATTCTGGATTACCTCAATGAAGTTTTAGTATACAGCTAGAAACAATCTTTGAACATTAGGATGTTTCTGATCAAGCTGAAGCTCCTTAGAAATTATCTCCAAGCCATAGTGCTAAAAGGCAGAAGCATCAGCACAAATGTCTCTACAAGCACACAAATATCACAAGAATGTAATGTAATTCCTCTTACCATATAGATAAGCCTTGCGCTGCTGAGTTTGGTATTAAACTGATGACCAAACACTTCAGTGAAGCCTTACTGGTGATGGTCATAACGTTCACTCTCAGGATCATACACACCAGCAACATCAAGAGTCGCATCAAGTTTCTCCAAAACCTTGTAACCACATCACTAACCAATCAAGATTGTAACTTTACAAGCAAAACAATACAAAATATACGACCTTAAGCTATTCTCAGACAGAATTTTCAAAACCCCAAACTGAATTCAAAGGTAGAAACTTTGCATAGATAAACGTTCAATTAGATGGTATAAAGGCCGAATCGAACCTGATGATCTCTGGTATGGACGATCTGGGCACATCTTCTTTTAATTAAGAACATAAAAGCAACACTGGAATCAGAACACAGAGAGAAAGAGAGAAAGAGAGAGATAGATAGAAACGAGGCTAGAGACGCAGCTCTGTAACACCACTTCTTCTCCTTCCATGCTCCTTCTTAGATCTGTAAACAAAACAAAAATCAATTACAAGTATACAGGAAGACGAAGAGAAAGAGAGAACAGATAAGAGGAAGGTGAAGTGGGTTTACCTGTCATGGTGGTGAGGAGATCAAACGATCTCTGAGACGAGGTCTGGTGGAGAGATTAACTAAGAAAAAAAAAGGTTGAAACAAAAGAGAAGAGAAAGGGACGGGANCCAACGGCGGTTGTTGAAAAGGGCTGATCCTCAACCTTGTATATTATTGGTCAGCTGTTTTAACCAATCAAAAATTTTAGTTACTTTTCTATTCTATTTTGTTTTAATACACAAAGTATTAATGGTAAAATTGTAATGTACATAAATTATTTGAGATAAAATTCAAATATTTACATTTGAATTTAAAATTTTAGTTTTTAGTAATGTTTGGGGTTTATAAATTGAAATTATAGTTTATGAAATAGATTTTAGGGTATAGAATTATGAAATAGAATTTGGGGCATATAATTAAGTATATAGTTTTAGATTGGATATAAATTTTGAAGTTTAGGTTTTATGATTTAAGGTATCAACTTTAAACTCATTTTTTCTCTAAACACATTCTTAAAACTTTAAATTCATGGTATTTGAAACCCTAAACTCTAAATTCATTATTAATTAACTTCCAAATTTTTTAAACAACCTAAACTCAATCTTAAATGTAAACACAAACATTATTCATACACATTTTCAAATCATATACCTAACCCTCGAACATTTATTTCTATCTTTATCTATAATCTAAAATCTAAAAACCACTCACATACCTTTATAGTTTAGGGGTTATAGTAGAGAGGTTATGTTTAGGGGTTATAATTTTAGGGTATTAGATTTATGGTGTAGATTTAAGATTTAGCATTTAAGGTCTAGAATTTAAATGTGTGCTTATATTTTTAAATGATTTAATTTTGAGTTTAAATTTAATATTGAAGTTATATTATGAAATATTGAAGTTTTGAAGTTCATGTTTTAGGATTAGAGTTTAAACCCTAAACTTTAAATACAGCTCTTAAAATTTAAATGTTTTCTTATTTTAATCATTATTTTAATTTTAAATTCAAAATTAATATTTTATATTCTAACTTTAAAATTAAATCTACACCCCAAACCCCAAACCATAAACGATACCTATATCATACCCTAAATTAATCATATATCTTAAACTCTAATTACAAATCTTTAAACTCTATTTTTATGATTTAATTTCAAATTTTAAATCTAATCTGAAAGTTTAATATCAAATCTAATTAAACCCAAAACACTGAACTCCAAACCCTATAATTATATATATATATATATTAAATTTATTTAAATAGGTACTTTATATATAAACGATAATTTGATTATTAAATATAACATTTTATATAAAATTTTAAATTTATTGAGCAGTCATAAAAAATGTTATTTACAAATCAAAATTTTAAACATAACCTTTATAAATATCATTCTTTTGTTATCCTCCTCCATTTTCATAGTTAAAAATATATTGCATAAATTATAAATTGTTGTCATCTGATTCACATAAGCCATTAATTAGTCATCTGCATCCAAAATATATATAAACCAAACAATAGCCATGTGCATCAGCATGAACAAAGCTAGACTTCGAACCAGCAGCTATCTCATCGACATCACATGTTACAAGAGCGAGATCAGAGTAATGTGCATCAGCATGAACATCCCTTTGCTTCCAACTGAGATTACTGAGACTCTTATCNGACTTTGTGTCTTGATCATTCCTCTGTTTCAATCATCTCAATGTGAAAAAATAAGAAACAGAACATGTACCTAGCGAAATAACTTGTAAATCTTACATTTTTTAGTTGAAGAACAATGGTTTCTCCTTCCTTTAAGTTGTAATCGATAGATGAAGTGTTTTGAAAGTGTTTTTCCATTTCTTCTGCTGTTTTCTTCTTGTTTAAGTACCTTTAGCAAAGAGATAAGATTCAGAGATGTCAAAGAACACTAGGAGGTCTGGAAGTGGAACGTTACTTCATGTGGTCATGTAGTGCTGTTTGGAAGTCATATGCTTTTGTTCTCTCCCGGAGCCCGAGTCTAATAAAAGCATCGAACACGACCACCTGCAATGCTTCAAATAAGTAAACTCAAAAATCAACTACTACAACTATAACAAATCTTTATAGTAACTAAGTACCTATTTTTTCTTCAACTCGGAGAAATATCTACAAGTCAAAAACAGAGTTTTTCTATGTTACACTAGCTGCACAATCATTGAGAAGACCAGGTTAAGCTCTATAGTTACCTGCTACTGTCGATAACGGCTTCTACATGATAAGGTTCACCATCACACAGAAAGGCCTGAGCGTAAAGTTCCCTAGTGGTTTTATCTACAATTTTAATAATGCATTCTTCTCCTTTGCTCACCACTTTCAATTCTCCTTCCCATGCCCATTTGTTCAAGTTCCACTCATCTGCTCTACAAGGATCAATCATATAAAAGGTATCAGTGAATGTCTCTCTCCATATTCCAGCAGATTAATCAGATGCATCTTTGGCCTAAGAAGAGCCAAGTTGAGTTGATAAAAAGCTAATGTAATTAGAAAACAATGACTATCTATTTACAAATTAAGGATAATCTAACATTCCTACTAACTTCAGACCATAACATTAAATGCTTCACTACCCTGAAATCAAAATCAATCGAAGTTGGAAAGAGAGAGACAGAGAGAGAGAGAGAGAGAGAGAGAGAGAGAGAGAGAGAGAGAGAGAGAGAGAGAGAGAGAGAGAGAGAGAGAGAGAGAGAGAGAGAGAG